GGTGTTACAAAAGGTACGCTACTTCGCTGAGCAGTTCGAAATACAAAAGATGACCAAAATACTTGTAAATAATGTCAACTGATTAGCCTAAAACCTGTTAATTGGAAAGACAGTTTATCCAAGACACAAAGGAGGACCACTGGCAACAAAAACAGTTAGCTGACTGAGCCGAGTGGTAGTTGGTGGATATTTACCCTCAGTCCAACTTGAAAGAAGGTATAATTCAACCTCATGGTATATTCAATTAAACTTGGAGTTTAAAAAAGTCACCTTTTCCCCCCTTCAATGACCCCCCCCCTCCCCTCCCTCCAAAAAAACAAAACAACAACAACCAAAAACAAACTGGCTGGCCCCGACTGCATCAAAGGTAAAGGAATTTGATTAGTTTAAGTCAAGCGGCACTCTGACCCCCAGTATTGGGGGAACCCCCTGCCCTCTTCCCCACTGGTGTTGGAATTGCAATCATAAAGAACGCTCTCAGTTGACCGAAACTGGCCGGGAATTGATCAAAACGCGGACCCTCGGTGATGCTGAAACCTATGCGCCGGATCGTGGCCAGGTGTGTTCACTAAACGCCACAGTAAGTCCAGCTGATTGTTACACCAGGGAGCCCTTGCGCAACAGGGCGGCGACGTCTTGCTCCTGGTGTTGCACAATTTTTTAACAGACTAGCTGATTTTGGTTAAGGCTATAGCCACTGTGTGGTTGTTCTTCACTTTGAAAGTGTTTAAGAAAATACAAGTACATTGTAATCAAACTTCAAGCGTCCACCACTCCAGCCCTTCCTAAAAAAAGTGACAAATTGTGTTTGTTATGGGCATACACAGGTCAACATTGCGTCTATCAGAGAGCACTTGCGTCGAATGCCATCAATTAAAGTTCAAAATGTCATCAAGCAAAGCATAATTTACAGTTTTCTTGTTAATTCAGAATATTAAAGTTAAGTAAGAACAGCATTTCTCTAAGTTTTCACACGACCGCTATTTAGCGGGAAAGTGGCAGCTATGTTAAAACGTATACATTTCGTTCCTGCTTGATCGATAACCCATATCTTAATTAAGAATTTATAATTGTAGTTGTTTTTTAAAATTATTCAGTTGAGGTGAGATTCAGAAGGCAATAAATCCATCACATGCAAAGAACTGCCCAGAAAGAATAACCATTCAGAATAAGCTTAGAAATGATCTGCAGCAGATTCATGTGATTTGAAAAGGTCAGAGGACGAGGGACTGGAAATAAACATGCAAATGCAAGTGACCACCTGCCGTCCCAAGGTCACGACGTAGAGTAGAAATCGTCGGGAAGCTCGGAACAGAACACAAGTATCAATATAGCTGTCCTCGTAGGATTATGCGATTGTGCAGCCACGCGTTTTTTCACGTTTTTTCCCTTTTTTCACAAAACAATTAACGCCTCGCCATGTGACTGAAGGGACGTAATCACGTAATAAGTCTCATTTAAGTGAAAAGTTGATTATTGAGCATGTTCAATTTTTCAATCCATCAAAAGTTGTTCTCATGTCTGCTGATGTTTCATGTTTGACAGGTGTCCCTGGTTTTAGTAACGTACCAGCATCACAGGTGCAGATGTCCTTTTTTTTATTTTTTTAAAAATATTTTCCTTTCCTCTATAGATCTAGATCTACAGTAACAGCTGAAAGTTACAGAGATTATTTTTGGTTGGATTTTTTATTTATTTAAAAATTATTTTTTTTTACTGATGTGTTTGTTTCCTTTTCCAAATACACAACAAATTATTGATACTGATATGTACTGTTTTCAATTTTTCTGCACATAAAACATGAAAATCAGGAAACTTCGTGTTGAAAAAGTGCAAAACATGTCGCGAATGGTATTACGCTAACTTGTATAATTTTGCTTTTTTGTGCATAATTTGGCCTTCTAAATTTGCATAATTCTACGGGGATAGATATAGAATAACTTTCAAAATAGTATAGGAATACCTCTGAACACGACGATGATTAAATCGAGAATGAAACCCCCTGCGACGATGCTACTGACTGAAGTGTATTTAGGCCATTCCCACAGGGGGGACATTAACGTGTTCTTATGCACAGTAGAATTGTAAATGAGCTGATTCATCAATGCCATACTCATAACTGTGCCTGAACTGCAGCTTTTTCTTTCCTAATCGAGAATGAAGGGAAACAAATCCGAAAACTGTTGGTTCGAGCCTCTCTTTGAAAGTACACTACAGCGTTGCACAGTTCAAAACACAAAGGAAACTAAAAATGTTATACCTGCCGCCAACTGATTACGCGCCAATAGTTGGTCATGGACATTCCCAAGTTCCCGAGACGTACGCCCCCCCCCCCCCCCACTCTCTGGCCGATGCTCCCGGGGTGCAACTGTAGACTTCTTTGAGGAGTCCAAGTTTTCTCGTGGGCAGAAGCAGCCATTTTATTTCTGTCACAGCGTGCACTACCGCGCGCGATACATGCACTATCAAGCTTTTTGTCCTCTCTAAAGTTTATAATAAAAATAGAACTTTGCCCTAAGAAATAATTCCCAAGCTAATACATTATGTAAAGTTCAACAAATACGGGAAAATATCACGGAGAAGAAGAAAAAAACAAACACCCCCAAAAGAGTGATACAATTATAATTTAAAAAACAAAAACAGTTGCTGAAGACGGGCCTTTTTAATTCTTTAAAAGCATTTTTTTGGCCATTAATAATATATAGCAACAGCTTAAAAACCCAGAAAGAACGCCAGTTTTTAAGATGAATTAAACACAGAATAATTATGCGTCCGTCCAGACTGAAGGTAGAATTTGTAATGAGAGAGAAAGTAAGAAATGTATTGGCTCGAGCCTCTCTTTGGAGATACATGTACGCTATTTTGCTGAGCTGCTCGAAAAAGAAAGGATAACAAACAAACAAAACAAAACCAAAACAACAACAAACAAATAAAAAAAACTCCAAAAAAACAAAACAACCACACACACACACTTGTCTTGTCAACCGATTACACCAAAAACTGCTGTCAGAACTTCGAAGGGCCGCAACTCAGTTGTGCAATTCGTGTATTATCGGAAACACAATGGAGGACCACTGGCCACAAAAATTAAACAGCGCGCTGATGAAGCCGATCCATAGTTGTTGGATATTTGCCAGTTTAGCGCCTCGACATTTTCCCCCTCAACAAGGAAGGTGGCGTTATTCAACATCATGGTACATTCATTTAAATTGGGAATCCCCCCCCCCCCCTTTGAATGGAAAGCAAACAAAACTTTTTAAATTTCAATGTTTTTTAAACTGGCAGGCTCCGGCTGCATCAAAATTAAATGAATTCGATTGGGAGTGGTATTAAAAAATACCCCATAAGCCTAGGGGAAGCGGCACTCCAATCCCCAGGATTAGGGGAACCCCCTACCCCACCGCTGTTTTATTTACAATCACTAAGGACACTTTAAGCTGACAAATATTGGGCGGGAATTGAAAAAACGGACGCTGAACTACGTCCAAGCTTAGGAAGCTAAAATAACGAAATTATAATGATGAACATTTTATGAGGTCCTCGCCTACGGACTGGGCGGCGACCAGGTGTGTTCACAAAAGGCCACCGCCGGTCCAGCTGATTGTTACGTCAGAGAGCCGGTCACTGATGTAAGCGACCGCCATTTTGGTTATGATTATGGTGTTATTTTTTGAGCTATTGAGAAGAAAACGGCAAAGGTTTTGCTTGGGAACATAAAATTAAATGTAGCGTGTCCTTTAAGAACATCGCGTTAAAACTAAGCAAAACGCGCTGCTCGTACCCGTATTTATTTTGATATTTGGTATTGACAAGATAACTTCAAAGGCTTTACTTGATAATGTCTTGAACTTTAGCTGTTGGCACGAGGCACACGTGCTCTTATAGGCCTAGCAAAAACTAGTTTTCTTGTCAATTCCGAGTATTAAAGTTAACAAAAGCAGCATTTTGTTTAATTTACTCGTGAGATTCAAATCAAACACATTTACATTGTATATTACAATTGGATGATTTAAAAAAAATATGAGGAGATCACAGATTATTTAATGAAAATAATTGTTTTACAAAAATACAGTAAAGTTGAGGACAAAGACCATAAGATCAATCATGTGCAAAGTGCAACTCACAGAGAGAGAGAGAGAGAGAGAGAGAGAGAGAGAGAGAGAGAGAGAGAGAGAGTGAGAGAGTGAGAGAGTGAGAGAGAGAGAGAGAGATCAGGATCAAAATAACCCGCGGTGAATTTATATAATTTGAAGTTAGTGGATTTGTTTGTTTTGAATCATTGTATCGATTCATGATATTTTCAAAACATTTGCTTAAGGTACATGTGTTTACTAATTTAGAGGCGGAAACTCCTATCGTTGCATATTGGGAAAAAAAGGCCGTCGACGATACAATTCAGAAAGGAAACATCTAGCACGATGATGGGACCGATAAAGAAGTAAAAAACAACAACAACAAACAAATAAGAAAAACTAGAAATATACACATGTCGTATATATTAAGTGACCACTTACCGAATCAACGTCACGACCGTAGAAATTGTCAGAAATCTCAGAACCGAACACTAGTCTCAATAAAGAATAACTCTCTGAGTAGTATCGCAATACGTCTACACACGCTGATAATCAAATCCAGAATGAGAAAAAAAATTCGAAAACTACTGACTCGAGCCTCTCTTTGAAGGTACGCAACTTTGCTGCACACCTCGAAACACAAAGAAAATTAAAATTTTACTACCTGTCGTCAGCTGATTACGCGCCAATAGTTGGTCACGGACATTCCCACGCCCCCGAGGCGTACGCCTCCCCCCGCCCCTCACCCACTGACCGATGACCCCAAGAGGCGACGACACATGACCAACAGCTGATTGTTACGTCAGAGAACTAGTAGTAGACTTGCAACGTGGTGATGTTTTTGGTCGAAAAGTCGTAATTTCTGAGAGTGGTTGGCGGGTGTTCTGATGTGGTTTGGTATTCTTTTACTTCTACTATCAAACGTTTATTGTCCGTATCTCTCCTCACTTTAAAAAATGTTTATTACTCTCTTCCTGTGTCAATCTAATTAATCTTCGGCACTTATTTGAACCGATTGTGTGCATGATTGGGTTTTAGTAGTCATATTTGGACATTTTGTTGTAAGAAACCGTTTCTAAAAATTACTAGTACACATCGTTGTCTGACTACAGGTAACATCTACAATAGAAAGAGTCCTTCCTAAAGTTTGGCGGTACTATTGATGTCAGCCAAGTCTGGTGTTGTTTGTCACTGTTCGACATGTTTTGTTTTTCTTTCTTTCTTTATCTACAAAACACAAGCGTAGTGTGTCAATCAAAAGTTGAGACATTGCCAAACATGATATCTTAGCCCCTTAGTTTATGAACTTGATAGTCAGCTGATTATGGAGATCAATAGATGGTGGATATTTGCCCCTGAGTGAGGAAGAAAGCGTTATTCAACCTCGCGGTACATTCATTTCAAATAGGTATTGAAAAATAAATCCCTATTCCCCCTAGCCATGAAAGAACCCCCAACTACTCAGTCGGTCCTGACTACATCAAAACTTAATTAATTAGATCGGGAGTGTGCACTAGGTACATGATTATTATATTATTAGAAAACATAAGCTAAAATGTGAAGGGGCGCTCATCCCCAGGATTAGGGGAACCCCCGCCCCCACCCCACCCCCCAACCGATGTTTTATTTTCAATAACAAAGGACACTTTAAGCTAACAAATATAGGGCGGGAATCGATAAAACGGACCTTCGCTGATGTTGAAACCCCCTGAGCTACGTCCAAGCCAAGAAGGCTAAAATAACGAAAATATGATGGAAATTTTCTGAGGTCCTTGCTTACGCCCTGGGCGGCGACCAGGTGTGTTCACAAATGGCTACCGCCGGTCCAGCTGATTGTTACGTCAGAGAGCCGGTCACTGATGCAAGCGACCGCCATTTTGGTTATGATTATGGTGTTATTTTATGTGTTTATTGACAAGAAAACGGCAACGGTTTTACTTGGGAACATAAAAATAAATGTTGTGTGTCCTTTAAGAACATCGCGCTAAAACTAAGCAAAACGCGCTGCTCGTACCCGTATTTATTTTGATATTCGATATTGACAAGAGAACACCAAAGGTTTTACTTGGTAATGTCTTAAACTTTAGCTGATGGCATAGGACACACGTGCTCTTATAGACCTTAGCAAAAACTAGTTTCTTGCCAATTCCGAGTATTAAAGTTAACAAAAGCAGCATTTTGTTTAATTTACACGCGATGTTAATAACAAACACATTTACAGTGTATATTCCAATTTAATAATAAAAAAAGAGGAGATCAGAGATTATTTAAAGAAAATAATTGTTTTTAAAAAATACAGTAAAGTTGAGGACAAAGACCATTAGATCAATCATATGCAAAGTACAACTCATTGAGAGAGAGAGAGAGAGAGAGAGAGAGAGAGAGAGAGAGAGAGAGAGAGAGAGAGAGAGAGAGAGAGAGAGAGAGAGAGAGAGAGAGAGAGAGAGAGAGAGAGAGAGAGAGAGAAATCAGGATCAAAATAACCCGCCGTGAATTTATATAATTTGAATTTCGCCGTGAATTTATATAATTTGAATTTGGTGGATTCATGATATTTTAAAAACATTTGATTAAGGTACATGTATTTACTAATTTAGAGGCGGAAACATGTATTTACTAATTTAGAGGCGGAAACTCCTATCGTTGCATATTGAAGAAAAAAAGGCCGTCGATGATACAATTCAGAAAGGAAACATCTAGCACGATGATGTGGCCGGTAAAGAAGTAAAAAAACAACAACAAACAAATAATAAAAAATTAATAAAAAATTATATATATATATATATATATATATATATATCTATGTATATATATATGTATATATATCTCAGAACAGAACACACGTCTCAATAAAGAATAACTTTCAGAATAGTATCGTAATACGTCTACACACGCTGATATTCAAATGGAGAATGAGAAAAAAAAATTGGAACCCTCTGGCTCAAGCCTCTCTTTGAAGGTACGCAACTTTGCTACACATCTCGAAACACAAAGAAAACTAAAATTTTACTACCTGTCGTCATCTGATTACGCACCAAGGAGATTAAAAGTAGTTCTAAACTCCTTGTTACGCACCAATAGTTGGTCACGGACATTCCCACGCCCCCAAGGCGTACATCTCCCCCCGCCCCTCACCCACTGACCGATGACCCCAGGAGGCGACGACACATGACCAACAGCTGATTATTACGTCAGAGAGCTAGTAGTAGACTTGCAGCGTGGTGATGTTTTGGTTGAAATGCCATAATTTCTGTAGGTTGTTGGCGGGTGCTCTGATGTGGTTGGGTTTATCTTTCTTTAACTAAATGTGTATCGTCCTTATGTCTCCTTACTTTAAAAAAAAATGTTTATTACTCTCTTCCTGTGTCAATCTAATTAATCTTCGGCTCTTATTTGAACTCATTGTGTGCATGATTGGGTTTTAGTAGTCATATTTGGACATTATGTTGTTAGAAACCGTTTCTAAAAATTACTAGTACACATCGTTGTCTGACTACAGGTAACATCCACAATAGAGTCCTTCCTAAAGTTTGGCAGTACTTTTGATGTAAGCCAAATCTGGTGTTGCTTGTCACTGTTCGACATATTTTGTTTTTCTTTCTTTTTCTACAAAACACAAGCGTAGTATGTCAGTCAAAAGTTGAGACATTGCCAAAAATGATATCTAAGCCCCATAGTTTATGAACTTGATAGTCAGTTGATTATGGCGATCTATAGATGGTGAATATTTTCCCCTCAGTAAGATAGAAAGCGTTATTCAACCTCGTGGTACATTCATTTCAAATAGGAATTTAAAAATAGATCCCCCCCCCCCCCGTCATGAAAAAAACCTACTGCTTGGTCCGGACTGAATCAAAATTTAATTAATTCGATCGGGAGTATGCACTGGGTACATGTATTATTATTATTATTATTAAAAAACATAAGCCAACATGTGAAGCAGCGCTCCCATCCCCAGGATTAGGGGAACCCCCTGCCCCCAACGCTGTTTTATTTACAATCGCAAAGGACACTTTTAAAGCTAACAAATATTGGGGGGGGGGGATAAATAAAATGGACCTTCCTGATGTTGAATTGAAACCTCCTTAACTACGTCCAAGCAAGGAGATTAAACAATGGAAAATTTCTGAGGTCCTGGCCTACGCCCGGGGCGGTGACCAGGTGTTTTCACAAATGGCCACCGCCGGTCCAGCTGATTGTTACGTCAGAGATGCAAGCGACCGACTTTTGGTTATGATTGCGGTGTTATTTTATGTGTTTATTGATAAGAAAACTGCAAAAGTTTTGCTGTGGAACATAAAAATTAAATGTATTGTGTCCTTAAAGAACATCGAGTGAAAACTGAGCAGAACACGCTGCTTCTACCCTTTTTTATCATTATATTCGGTATTGACAAGAGAACTTCAAAGGTTTTGCTTAGTAATGTCTTGACAGATCTCAGGGCACAGGACACACGTGCTCTTGTAGACCTTAGCAAAAACTCGTTTTCTTGTCAATTCGGAGTATTTAAGTTAATAAAAGTAGCATTTCGACTAATTTACACCCGATGTTCACAACAAACACATTTATGTTCTAATTGAATAATTCAAAATTTAAAAAAATGAGGAGATCTCAGATTATTTTATGAAAATAATTGTTTCCTAAAAATACAGTCAATTGAGGACAGAGACCATTAGATCAATCATAAATGCTAAGAACAACTCAGAGAGAGAGATTGAGAGAGAAGGAGAGAGAGAGGGGCGGAGAGGGAGAGAGAGAGAGAGAGAGAGAGAGAGAGAGAGAGAGAGAGAGAGAGAGAGTGAGAAATCAGTATAACCCGCTGTGAATTTATGTAATTTGAAGTTGGTGGATTTGTTTGTTTGATTTTAAATCATTGTATCTTTTTATGATATTTTCAAAACATTTGATTAAGGCACATGTATTTACATATTCAGAGACGGAAACTCCTATAGTTGCATAGTGAAAAAAAGAGATACGATTCAGAAATGTAACATCTACCACGAAGATGCGGCCGATAAAATTATTTTAAAAAAAAGACTAAACAAAGAATAAAAACTGCAAAGAGATACAATTGTATACATTAAGTGACCACATACCGTCTCAACGTCACGATCGTAGAAATTGTCAGAAATCTCAACTCAGAACACACAGCTCAATAAAGAATAACTCTCAGAATAGTATCGTAATACATCTACCCACGCTGATAATAAAATCCAGAATGAGAAAAAGAAAATCGAAAACTACTGGGTCGAGCCTCTTTTTGAAGGTATGCAACTTTTGCTGCGCACCACAAAACACAAAGAAAACTAAAATTTTACTAGACTACCTGTCGTCAGCTGATTACAAGTCAATAGTTGGTCATGGACATTCCCACGCCTCCGAGTCGTACGTCTCCCCCCGCCCCTCACCCACTGACCGATGACCCCAGGAGGCGACGACACATGACCAACAGCCGATTGTTACGTCAGAGAGCTAGTAGTAGACTTGCAACGTGGTCATGTTTTGGTTGAAATGTCATAATTTCTGTAGGTTGTTGGCGGGTGTTCTGTCTGATGTGGTTGGTTTTCTCTTTCTTTTACTATCAAACGTTTATCATCCTTATCTCTCCTCACTTTAAAAAAA